AGGACTGCTTTTGTCGGAACTCATCAGAACTTTGATGGATATCGGACTAATTCAGTCACTTTCCCGTAAAATCACCTTTCGCAAAGCGGCCGGCATCCTTGTTAGCAGCGGAATCTGTTGCGCCATGGTGCCGAAATTCCTGAAAGAGCTTTTTTTCAAACAAAGGCATCTGCACGACTAGACTTATGGCAGCGCGGTGGCACTCACCTAATCATTACTTTTGGATAAGTCTCCACCAGTTGTGCTAGAGTTCGTACTGCACCCACTACGTCCGATTGAGTGGGATCCACCGCCTGTGCTACCAGCGTTGTCACCAGGCCGTCTGTATCCCGTTGACGCCATCGGAATCCTTGGATACTTGCTTGATTGGCCAATGGATCCACAAATAGACCTAAACCACGTGGGAATTAAACTGCTGCCTTTTTCTCGACATCTCAGGAAAACTGACATGGGTACTTGAGTTGTATATCATCGAGCAAACTTTGAGCGTGCTTCCGTTTCTCAATAGGCAAATCCGATCTGGCTAATGTCACTATCACTTCCGCTATAGGTACCGCAACTTCAACATTCGTAAGATCTACCTGTAACACGAATGATTTCAAAAGAGGCCAACTATACAGCATTTTGATTCCTGGGGGATATCACAGCTTCAGTATTTTTAAGTGCAAAACGAGTAGTTAGAGCGGCATCGTCTATGGCTCAGCTTCGTTCCGGAATGGCGAATTGAAAACAGCAATGAAAATTCACCAATCGATCAATAAGGTCAACAGCGGCCTTCATCTGTTGTGGATCTCCCATAACCATCTCGACCACGTACTGTGCAAGACAGGCCCACTGCTGGGCAGTCCATACGCGGCAGAACTCACGAATTGCGTTCAACATGAAGAACGAGCAGACTATTCTGGGGTTATACCTGAACGAATTACTTCTTTTCTTTTTGGGCTGAACGTTTCAGAATTTCAGAAAAGACAGTTTAAGAGAAAACCAACTTTGTATTGAAAGATGACAGTAATCTGAGGAACACTGTCTCAATTGTCTTTAACGGACTTCGAAGAGGCATCTGTGCTACCAACTCTTCTATGCCAGAATCGCCAAATATGGCCATCATCTAAAATGAATCTTAATTGCGAAAAAAAGCTGAAATATCCATAAAGAAAGCTTCGCACCTGTGCGTCGAATTCCGCTGGAGTTGCACTTCTCTTGAAAATCTCCACGCGGCGTTGCAAGAATTTATTTAGAAGCCTAAACAGCTTATTGAGGTTACCAAACCCACACATAACATCGACCTAATTATTCCTTTGAACAGACATTACTACATACTCGTGTAACACTTACAGAGCTCTACTGTAGCCTACTGGAATTACTTTCGAGTGGAGCGCTTCGAGAATCTCTTCTTCGGTCAGCTCCTTAAAAACGGTTCGTTTTCCGCGCAAAAAGACATTAGAACAGAAATATCTAAAATGAACATAGATAATCCACCTTCTTCTTATAACCAGCTGGAGGCGGTGCATTTGGAACGTACTGACGGAGATGTCCTTCAATGGCCGGTGAGGTCGCAGCACTCTTTAGAACTTTCGCCGAAAAAGTCGACAGACGCCGTTTTACAGAAGGAAACTGAAAACCTATGATAGTAGTAACTTCTTCACGCAACCAATTGCAGCTATTGTAAAAGTGCACCTGTATAGGAAATGATAAAATAAGATAATTACTGATGAAACTACCTTCTTCGCGCATGGTCCCAGCACTGCGAAGATCAAATTGAATGCTTCACGGTCGCCAAGGAAAAACTTCAAATTTCCTTCGAGATGCTCCACTACTGCCATGGCGACATCTTCAGCTCGTTGCGTATCGCGCCAAATATTCCAGCCAAGAACAAAGGGCGCATTAGGTACCTAGGATAAGAACTTTGCACAATCCACTGTTCATAGAGACAATAAAAAAGAGCAATAAGACAGCAACAAATGATAGAAACTGAGAATAGCAGTGGGTGAGAATGAAAATGTGGCTAAACTAAGGCCGTAAGGAAACACGGAAAGCAGCAAACATTAGATTTAGAAAACCCTGTAACACTTCTACCATTTTTTGATTTTAATTATATCTTTCTTATTTACAAATCATGACCCATTGTCTATCTACTATGATATCCACCACTGTCTCACTCTGAGAAATTTTCTCGATGCTCCTTCTTCAAAACATAGAGGAGTGTCTGTCAAAAAAGTAGGGGTCCTTGCTTTCGTATAATTCGATCTCTTAAAGATGATCATTGAAGGTCCAGAATAGGTGGTAGCCATTTAGGGCTCGAAGAAGACGCTAGATCAAGTAAGAAGTCTCATCGCAGCTCAAGAATTTCTGAAGAGGTTCATTTCAAAACATTGCAATTCAATGTCATGAAAGACATAAAGATTGTCGCGGTACGAGCGCTCTTGGCGAGCTCCCTTGACCAAATTTTGGAGTCAGCGTAGACCTCTAACTCCACAATAGTGCCCATATCATAGGATTTATAGTTCGGCTTCTCTGATGCCCTACCTGGTGAAAGTGAGGCGCAGTTTGCCTCTCAAAGAATTATCAATAGATCTCAATAGATCGAAAGCGCTGGTACAGGTGAGACAGGCTACATATAATGGTGAACAGCATTTCCGTTGAAGCTATTGCATGTAGCGTTGGTCTTGACAAGAATCCTAGTTATGGAGACATTTGTACTAGACAGTGACTCGGAGTGCAGGATTTACTAGTGGTCGAGGTTTTTTGAATTTCTTGGATAACTACTGATTGCAGCACTTATATCCACCTCGTGGATGGAAGCCTCGAGAATGCTCTACCATTTGCTGAGTCATAAATGTTACCTACGAATTTTTCATTGAGAAAGTGTTGCAGGACTTTCTTTCCAACGTAATTGTATGATGTCGGACTAAGTCACAAAGACATAAAAGAACTCATTC